AAGCATGTAAAAATGCAAGTAGAAAAATAGGGACCACTTTGGTGGGAAGGTAACAGCATTCCTTGCACCTTCTGGCATTTAGTCATGCCGGCCACATGACCACGGAGACGTCTTCAGACAGCACTGGCTCTTCGGCTCTGTAACGGAGATGAGCAGTGCCCCTTAGAGCTGGAAACGACTTGCACATATGTGCGAGGGAAACCTTTACCTTTATGAGTGGGAAAAACAGAATAGGATAGAGGGAGTTGTTACGTGATATGGGAATGAGATGGAAGGACCTCTGTTTAGAACTGAGAATTGCATGGTTGCAAATCTGGTAACGGGAAACAGATGTTACGTAGCTCGGGACATGAAAGATTAGTATCCAATCTCAGTGCAGAAGGCTGAAGTTACCGACATGAGGTGACCCTCTCCCACCTCCTCCCCAGAAGAGTAGCTCCAAGGTCTTCTAGCCAAAGTTCATGGTTGATGATGACCTCCAAACAGGGTTAGGTATGCTATCTGGCTGCTATGGAAACTCAAGGAGATGGGAGTTAAGGTGTAAGTTGAGGGCACGGAAGGTTGAGACAAAGGAAAGGAGAGCCTATTTAGTAATTTGAATTGCCTACTCAAGGACTTGAACTAATCTCTCTGGGTTTTAGCCTAGATCATGGCAGCATAATTGCCTGGTTATAAGAGGCTGGTTAGAGAGAGGCCGTCTAATGCCCTTTCAATCTTCTGAATATAAATCCATTTTTATTAAATTCAATGTTTCCTCTCCGGACTGCAAAAAAAACCCAACAACAATATTTGACCTTCTGAGTGGGAAGGAGCAGGAGTTTACCTAGTGCTCTTCTTATCTATAAAAAAAATATTTATGAATAGAAAGTGATCTTCATCCCGAGACCTTCTCAACTTCAATATTATACAGAGAAAAAAAATCAAGTGGGGAGGCAGGGACAGGGGAAGAACTGAGAAGGGCTGTTTGTCATCTTCTGGGATTCATCACCTATGGCTAAGATGGAGAAGACATAGGAGGGCAAGAAAGTCGGGACATGAATTGAGACATTTGTTTTTTTAGACGTCAACTCAAAATTGTTCTATTTTTATTTGTTTGCTTGTTTATATCCCAAATAAGAATTACGGATAAGTCAAGGTGGAAAAGATACCCAACATATCTTCCTCTTTTTCTTTTCCTCCCAAGAACAACCCTGTGAGATAGGTTGGACTGAGATAGTGGGATTGGCCCAAGGTCACCCATTTGGCTTTCATAGCTAAGGTGGAACTAGAACTCACCATCTTTTGGGGATTGGCCCAAAGCAAGGGTCTTCAAACATGGCAAGTTTAAGACTTGTGGACTTCAACTCCCAGTATTCCTGAGCTAACATGACTGGAGGAGGAAGTCCACAAGTCTTAAAGCTGTCAAGTTTGAGGACCCCTGGCCCAAAGTCACCCAGCTGGTTTTCCTATCTAAGGAAGGACTAGAACTCCCAATCTCCAGGTGTTTGACCCAAAGTCACCCAGTTAGCTTTCATGGCTAAGGTGGGACTAGAACTCACTGTCACTTGATGATTGGCCCAAAGTCACCCAGCTGGCTAGGTGTAAATGAGATGTAAAAACATAATTCCTTTTTTTGGGGGGGTGGGGGTAGTGAAAGAAATCTCAAAGGACAGATTTAAAAGTAATTCCTATGATTTGTAGAATATGGCAAGGTGTTAAAGATGAAGTTGTGGGCAGAAAACTTGAGCCTAAAACTCTCGGTGATGCCACCAGAGCCCTGCTGGGATCTGAAAGAGTTTGAAACTGGGAACTTGAAAATAATCCAGATTTTTTTTTTTTTTAATTTGATTTGAAGGGCTGCATGAGGAATGACTTAGTCTGCCAAGTCCAGTTCAAATAAAACTCCAGAGAGGAGTTTCAAAGCTCATAAAGATTCCTTTTCAATGATTTCCTGATGAGTCATAAGTACAATGGCCATATTTTCTTGGCAAAAATAAAGGACAGACTTGAATCAAGGGGGCAACACCAAAAGAGGATCATAAGGATTTTTTTTTAAAAAAAAATTGTTTATGTTTATAACTTTGCTTTACTAAGGAAAATTCAAGAGCCAAACCATGAAAATAAATAACAGAATCAAATAATTCTAAAGGGCAGCTTTCTGAAATAAAGGGCTGTCTTTTATAATAAAGGACATATGTCTGTTATATTCATAGGTGAGGGCCCTCTATTGAGAGAATATCAACTCTGTCTTTATGGGAAGGAGTTTTGAAGAGTTATTTTAGTTCCCACAGCCCCAAATTTAAGGATAAACTAATCAAGGAAGTTGGCAGCAGATTACTGAGGGCAGAGCTATGTGGTGGGCAGTCTATCTTCAGAGCAGTGAACAAAACTGTCTGCCTTCACAATCAAAGAGAGATTCATCCCCCCATTGAGTTCAAATTGAACAGGCTGCCATTTTGTTTCTTGATGGAGACTACTCAGTATCTTGAATGAACTTTGGCTGGTGTGAAATAGTGCTAATATTTAAGATGGCCAGAATTAGCTGAGGCCATTCAATAAGATGAATCCACGAAAGGCTGATCCATACTTTTGGGGTTCTCACAAATAAGGTTGTGGGATTCTCTTAACAGGAACACAAAACGTTCTTGGATGAAGGAAGAGGTCAAAACATTCACCCCCAAAAGGAAGCCATCTTTTTGAGGCCTACCTCCTGCTCCCAAAGGTGCTTTTTCAAAGGGCAACTGGACTTTGTTTTTCCTTGAAGATGCCTTGTTTCTCATCCAACAAGTTTCTTCACTTCTGAAGAAGCTTCTGGATGAAGAAGTGAAGTGTCTTCAAGGAAAAACAAAGTCCAGTTGCCTTTTGAAAAAAGCATTTTTGGGATGACCGTGACTTGAACAATTGAGAATCTCCATAGACATCGATCTCCTGCTCCTTGCCACCACTGATGGATGCTGACATTCAAAGACCTTCCCTACATTACAGCCAGTTAACACCTCCTGAAGATTATGGAAATCTCCCCATTGGCTTCACCTCAAGAACTCAAATGGGAAGACAAATGAACGGTATGCAGAATTTTCCAAAGTTTGGATAAATCAAGCTGCTTTGGATGAAGGAAGCTTCTCTTTGAGAATTCCCAGAGATGTTCTAAATCTAAACTATGATCTCTTTTGTGCCCTTTTTAAAAAAAATATCAGTGCTTTTTTTAAAATAAAGACCAAGAATCTTTGCATTAGATTCCTAGAAGAAATAACTGCCCCCTCCTTTCTCTTCCTCTTAAAACACATGCACAAAAGCAAACAATTAGTTTCCTTTCTGCCTTGAATCTTTTATGGGTGGGAAAACATTTTGAAACTGGATGAAACTGGAGTTCCAAATGCCCAATGACCCTTAGCATCCCATGGATATATTTCACCATTCTATTTGGGATACGAACAACAAGGAAGGATCTTCATATTTTCCTATGGTCCAAGTGGGAGCTTGTACCCTTTGCAGATCCTCCCAGATATGCTGGTTTTCTTTGTGCAGAAGCCACAGAGAATTTATACATGCTAATTTGCATGCATAAATGCAAATTTGGAAGCCAGGATTATAATTGAACTAGGAAGACCCCCCTGGTGTACTTCAGCTAAGATCACATGAAGTGTTAATACCATTTATAATTCCTTGGTAAAGCCACACTTGGTTTTGGTTACCACACTATAAAAAAGATGTTGAGACTCTGGAACAAGTGCAGAGAAGAGCAACTAAGATGATTAGGGGACTGGAGGCTAAAACATATCAAGAACGGTTGCTGGAACTGGGTATGTCTAGTTTGATGAAAAGAAAGACTAGGGGAGATATGATAGCAGTCTTCCAATATCTCAGGGGCTGCCCCAAAGAAGAGGGAGTCAAGCTATGCTCCAAAGCACCTGAAGGTAGGACAAGAAGCAATGAGTGGAAACTAATCAAGGAGAGAAGCAACTTAGAACTAAGGAGAAATTTCCTGACCGTTAGAACAATTAATCAGTGGAACAATTTGCCTCCAGAAGTTGTGAATGTTCCAACACTTAAAGAAGAGATTGGATAACCATTTGCCTAAAGTATTGTAGTGTATCCTGCCTAAGCAGGGGGTTGGACTAGAAGACCTCCAAGGTCCCTTCCAACTCTATTCTAATTCTGTTCTGCTCTGTTCTGTTAGTTGCCCAAGTGTTAAGTTCAAGGGGACAGCCTAAGGATGCTATTTGAACCTTGTTGTTAAATTTAAGTAAGACAATACAACTACTGAACAAAGGAATAGGATGTCTAGGAAGGAAGATCCTAACACATCTGGATGAGACTTACTTTGAGGAGGCTAAAATGCCCCATTTTTCTGCAGCTTGTTTGCTAGAAAAGTTCACATCTGGTCCATCTAGATTACAATCTCACCACGCTGTCCTTTATTTTTAAAAGATGGTAACTTGGCACATACTACAAAGGTCTCACCAGGTGGTCTCCCCTCCACAGTGCTTGTGTGCACACATGGGCAAAGGTGGAAGTACACACCCATTGTACTCTTCCACAATTCCAGCTCTGTGCAATGTAAAAGAACAATCCCTCCATTCTCCATAGAGAGCAATTTCTAAACAGTTTGGTATAGCTGGATCTGTAATGTCCTTTTTAAAAAAACAAAACAGAGTTTTAATACGGGGCAAATTAGAACTCGTTTTAATGTCTTTCGGGCAACTTTCAACTCCCTAAAAAGAAAAAGAAAAATCAAATGTTGTGTAGCTGTGTTGACTTGTTTGTTCATTTGTTCATTCTCTTCAACTTCTCTTCTCTGTTTTAGATCTGACTTGGTGTAATTTTAAGGCACAGATTTATCCGCCTGGATTTTTATGGCATGTTTGCATTTTTAACTGCCATTTTTCTACTGTAACTAAAACTGCCCAGATATTCTTTTTCAAATAATAATAATAATAATAAAGCAGCCTATTAAAAATCTAAATGAAGAAATAACCTTTTAAATGTACCCGCCTGATTATCTTTCTTCTGTCATGCAGGAGCATGGGCTATATAATGTTCCAGATGGCCGTGCGTTTCTGATTCATATTGGTTATGGTTTGTGTGCAAATGAATCCCTTTTGATCCGCGAGGACATTCTTCGATTCTGGAGCACCTCGTGCATAAGGTCTGTTTCTCCAAATGTTTCCAATTTTGATGATCAAAGAGCTGCCGCAAACAGGCTTGCTTATTTACAGCGATGTGTCTAGATCAAAGGTTAACCTCTTATGTATGGAATATTGGTTTTTCTAGCATTGGTTTAACACCCCGCATGCAGCGTGGTTAGGAGCCATAGCTTAAAGATACGCCATCATCTTTAATAAAAAGGAAACAATGCTTCCCCTTATTCTCTGAAGCAGGATATGCTTCCAGCAGGAAAGGATTTTGTGAATCTTGGCCTGTTCTTAGGGAGAAGAAAAAAAAGCTGATCAAAGAGAAACTGATGTACTGAAAAGTTTTAACTGAAGAATCTGATTTACTAAAGTTTTTTGGGCAATTTCAGAACACGAACAATGGGCTGTTGAAGGCGAGAAGGGATATGGCTTGTGAGATTAACTCTTTGGATGATCTTCATCTAAACTAAACAGGCATATTTTTGAGGGGTCCTTGGTGGTTTCTGGGCTTGATGTTTCACTACCCTACTAGGTAACTTCATCAGTGCTAGCATGATGATCCCAACTGGGTAACCTAGCAGATACTCCCTTCTAGCACCGATTACCTAGTTTGGGTAGTGAAACGTCTACAAGAAAACCATCAAGTTCAGAGAGCACCAAGGACCTCACAGTCCTCCTCCTCCTCCTTCTCCTCTCCACATGCCTCACTCCATTCTAGCACTGATGCTATTATCTAGTTGGGTCATGAAACGTCTACAAGAAAACCAACAAGCTCAGGGAGCATCAAGGACCCTATATTCCTCCTCCTCCTCTCCACAAACCCACTTTTTATTAGCACTGATGATGTTACCAAGTTGGGTAATGAAAACAACCAAGCACAGGAAGCACCAATGACCCCTCATTTCAACTCCAAGCTACAATTTTTTTTCTTTTATAGGCATCCTTCTTTCCTGAGATTTCCAGCCCTATGATTCTAGGATTTTAGGTTGATGCTAGCCAACACAGATCTTTCTGAATGAGTCAGGAAACTAATTTAATGACAAAGCAGTATTCTGCACTCTATTTAACTATCCTTAGTATGGGAGTATCCCACAAGGGATCCTGGGAAATCATTATTTTCTGATGAGGTTAAAGATTTAGAAATAATCCTAGCTCTGCATCCAAACAACTGGAAATTTCCACTCTGAAACACTCTTAATTCTAGAGGCTGGAATTGCCTGAGATTGGGAGATGGCTAAGGCACAATGTTGGATGGTGCTGGAGAAGTTAAAATATTTAAGCCATTAACAGCGCTTTTTTTTTTTTTTCCTCCTTCCCCTACCCCGAAATGGGAACAATGTGCATCTCTGTTGCTTGGAAGGCTGTTACAAAAATTCAGGGGTCTTGAAGGTTGACACAAAGAAGGTTGGGTCATATCCGTGGGTCCCAAATTAACCACCTCTGCTTTGATCTGTAAACATTCAAGATCAAAGGCATGTTCATCTAGCATTCCATTTAGTGCACTGCTCAGTTAGACACTTCAGAAAGCCAAAAGTGCAAGACGATGATCTCTGCCAATATCGTTTTCCAGAAACCTGGAATTAGAGTAATCCTGATTTTAATACCCTGAAATTACATATAGAAATCAGGAATGCTAGCCACTGGATACCTCCTTAAAAAAAAACCTTGGTCCAGCTGCCCCGGCTGCTAGCACCTCGTAAGGGCCCCTTTCCAGGGTTACAGGAGAAGATGGTCAACAGTTTTGAAGGTGAAAAAGGGCAGATAAAATGGCGGAACCATCTTCTAGGAGAAGCGAAACACTGATTTCAAACCTCCATTGCCTTGTGGCTATATCTATTATTGGAAAAGGCTTCAAGAGTTCAACCTCAACGCAAAATCTGGAGCGGGAGTCCCAGAAGCCGTTCGTGACTGTGTACAATCACGTACTGGTAACCCCTGCGATGCAGTCGGAACTAATCGTATTGGCTCTGTCATTCCATTAGACTGTTTCAGTGACATGGAGAGGGGTGAATCTACTGCTTGGGTAACAGTTTATCCTCCATATGAAATTACCCAGGCCTCAGGCTCTGGAGAGGACACTCCAGCTTTGCATACAGCATTGAAACAACATGGGAAGTGGCAGTTACCGGTTTCATAGCATGATACCATAGTCTCCAGAGGCTGAAGGATGCCATTTCAATTCAGTAGCCATGGGAGAATCAATTAATACAGTCGCTGTTTTCAGCTAAGGTGCAGGTAAAGTCCTTGACTTGCAATCATTTTGTTTAGCAACTTTTCGAAGTTACGACGGTGCTGGCAAAAGTGTCTTTATGATCCGTCCTCACAGCTATTGCAGCATCCCTGCAGCCCAAATTCAAGCGCTTGCCATCCAGCATTCATTTATGATGGTTTTGGCATCCCAAGATCACAGGATCAGGATTTGTGACTCTCCCACTTGAATTCCGACTAGCAAAGTCACTGGAGAAGATAGACCTGCTTAAGGATTGCATGATTCACTTCACAACTGCAGCAAAAATGGTCATAAAATAAACAGCAAGACTCCCTTAACGGCTCCCTCACTTAGCAGCAGAGGTGCTGGCCCTAATTGTGTAAGAGGAGAACTTGTGGTGATACGGTTATCTGAGGGACCATCTCTTGCTGGTCACTTCTACCCAACCCACTAGAGCAGGGAGGCAAGGAATCTTGCGAGTCTCGTCTCCTAAGGAGATACATCTTGCAGGATCCAGAAGTAGGGCCTTCTCTGTGGTGGCTCCTTCCTTCTGGAATATCATCCCTCTGGAAATTAGACTGGTTCCCACTCTAACACTCTTTGGGTAGGCTCTGATTCTGCCTACAATCCAAGGGGAACCCAGAGCGGGATGGAGCCCATTAAATGGCTGGTATGAACATGTGTAGGGACATGATGGCTCAGTGGTTAAGATGCTGAGCTTGTCGATCAGAAAGGTCAGCAGTTTAGCGGTTCGAATCCCTAGCACTGCATAACGGAGTGAGCTCCTGTTACTTGTCCCAGCTTCTGCCAACCTAGCAGTTCGAAAGGAAAAATGCAAGTAGAAAAATAGGGACCACCTTTGGTGGGAAGGTAACAGCATTCCATGTGCCTTCAAAGGCGTTTAGTCATGCCGGCCAGATGACCACAGAGACATCTTCGGACAGCGCTGGCTCTTCGGTTTTGTGACGGAGATGAGCACCGCCCTCTAGAGCCATAAACAACTAGCACATATGTGCAAGGAAACCTTTACCTTTTTATGAATGTGTGTTATCGCTGGAGTGGGGGGTTATTATTTTATTATTTTTTATTATTTTTGTTTCTTTTATATTGTGCCCCGTAAGCCGCTTTGAGTTACCATGTGCGAGTAAGCAGCAATATAAAATTTCTAAATAAATAAATGTGTCAACCCAGCTTTAAAACGTCCCTTCTGTTGGGCTACAGTAGCTCCGTAGTTTCCTTCCCAGATGTATTCACAGCAGACTCGGCCAGCTGCAATCCCTTTCTCGCCAACATTAATCATCTGCACAAATTAGAAATTTGGAATGGAGTCGTCTTTTAGCGTGTTCCCCATCCAGGCTGAAATAATTCCATTTCCTTTCTGTTTTTCTACGCAATTCGAAGATTAGTAACACAGTAAAGCATCTAAAAGAATGTTAGAAGCTTCCTGCTGCTTTGAGTGCTACGTTATGTAATCTTTGGAATAATTTTTTTTTGGTCCCAC